ACATTGGCCAAGTTTCATCGAGCTGCGATCATTAGTTTGGGATATATTTTATGGTAAATCCATATATGAAAACTGGCTGAAAAAATCAGTCGTAGTATAACGGAGAGAAATTGAAAAAGTTTTCACGACTCGAACATTACCTTTCCTTTGGGTTTTTCTTTCCAGGGATTACGTCTGTTCTTTAAATCCAATTTATTGCTATAATTTCTACGCTCAAATGTTTGAGTCGGCGTAAAATTATTTTGTCTTTTAAATGTCGAAGATATACTTTTTTGGGGCTAGTTTAACTATGTACCTATTATTATGGAACTAGTCGAACCATGCTCCCATGGTTGAACTATAAAGTCAACCATGCATGCTCCTACTAGGCCTATTCCTGATTTCAACGTGATATTTTCATTTCCTTTGACACAGCACAATGATAGTATCTGTTCATATTTCAGCCTGAAGTGTAGCCTAATTAATGAAAATAATCTGAAGCACTCATAGTACTGACGATAATATTGTTATTGTACAACTACTTGATACAATCAATAATGTACTAGGTATGGGTTGCATTGATTGTCCGCCGGCTTGGAGCAGAAATGAACGGCTGGTAATGAACGACTATTGAATCCATAATAAAACCTCACCGTCCTCACGAAAAGGCGAAACGTCCCGTCGACTAAACAGCTGTTGGCACAAGCCCACAGGCCACAGCAGTGAGCACTGAGCAGTGCATTGTTAGACTCACAAGTCATGTTACGTATGCTTTGTACCATAATTTACTTTAGTAGGCCTAACGTTACATTTACTTCGATACCTCACAATTTACTTGGAGCATAGAAGTTAGCTGAATCCTGAATGTTTGTGAAAATTGTGATTGAGCAGTTGAGCTTTCATATTTTCTTTGAGCAACATTTTCAAGATAGCCTACAATAAAAATTTAGGTCCTAATTCAAGTTCAACATGATTTACAAATTTCATGAATGTGATTTGCCCTAAACAAGAGAATTGTTGATAACAAGGAGATTCTTCTCATGCCAGCAAAGAAAAAAATGAAATTGAGAGAAACATGATGAAGGCTTCAACTAAATAACTATTGCAGAGTCCAGGTGTTAGCCTACCAGCGGCAGCGGACAGCGGTCAACTTGCAACTTCTTTTTCACCTACAACCCGCAACTACCAAATTTCATGGACATGAAGTATCCTTAAATCTTAACTAGGTACATAGCTTGTTTGTTCAACTTTGTTGCAAAACTTTCTTGCGCTATGATAATAATCAGTAATCTAATTTTTCTTATGTCATTTATTTGTACCTACTTTCACTTTCAGTTCACTGGCAAGTCAAGTTTCATTGAGTAATTTGAGTGATGATTGAGGTCTTATTTTTTATAGAAAAACTATCGTTTGTGTAGCAAAATATTCCTAATGAAATACTAACATAAATTTGTAATCAGCTGTTTACAAGTATAATTTTTTAAAATGTCAATCTACACCTGTTGTTTTCGATACCTCTGTGGCTCAAGTCCCAGACAAAATGTTCCTATTCATACTTTGCCCAACATTGTGCTTGACACTTCAAGTATGGGTAAGTACTAGTCTAGGACTACTAACTAGAGCTACAGTCAGCTACTAAGTAATGACTAATGAGTGCCATGGTCAGGAAGATGTGCCAGGTGCGCGGGAATTTTTATTATCATTGCATCAATTTGCGCCGTGCGCCGTAATATGCCGGTAAAAAAGTGCACCGTGCGCCAGCCTGCGCCGTGCTACTAAAGTTGTTTAAAGATGAATGCGCGGCAAGGCTATCACACACGAACAAATATCTGCATCACGTTGACTAGATTTCTAACATGTTAACTCAGGTTCTAAGAGTCGGCAATGTTCTCAATAATTATTCATAGATCACAATTCGGTTGGAAATTAATTACAAAACTGAATAGTAGAAGGCGACAATCCACATGGCTTGAGATTGGCTCCTTTTAACGAAGGACTTACTTACTTGGTTAAGATACGGCGCAGCACCGACGAAGGTATTAGCGCCCGACGAAGGACTGACTTTGGCAAATAGTACAAACCCGAATGTCAATGTCAGGAATACGTTGCGTTCCCGACATCCTCCCGGCTGGAGAAATGGGTTTGTGCGGTGCAAACCCATTGAAAACAAAAATACATGCACTGCATTTTTTTTAAATTGTTGTATAAGAGACAGCCTTTTNTCCGGACTGAATATTGCCTCACGTCCGGACCGGACGGTCTACGGAAGGTAAACAAACACAAACGATGTTCACCAGTTCGTATAAGAAATTTGTAGAAAATTTCTTCGAAAATAAATTTCTAGATTTTTGCTTTCACAAAATTTCCATATCAAGGAAAATCATAGATTATTAATGGATAATTAAATGCATATTAATTATTAAGTATTATATATTTTCTGTCTCTTGTCCCTTGACAAAATGTATGTGCGCGCTACGCCGACGCTTGCGCGCGCTGCGCCGATGCTTGCACGTGCTGCGCCAACGCTTGCGCGTGCAAGCAGGGATGGCCAGAAGTTGCACCAACTGTGCGCTGCAATAGCTTGAAAAAAGTCAAAATGCGCGGGAAAATTCCCTGAAAACATACATAATCCTGAGTGTGGAATGAGTGATGAGTATTAACTCACAAGGCAACTTGGCAAGCAGTGAGCACTGAGCAATCAAAATCATTCTAATTTCTTGAGATGTATTGGTTGTATTTTGGAATGCAAGATAAATTTCTACTTAGCAGTTAGCATGAAATGGTGATTCATATATTTAAGCATGAAATGGTGATTCATATATTTATTCACAATAAGAAAATATAAGTTAATTGATTCAGAAGCAATGGTCTTGATTCAGGTCTTTTTGAACTCAAAGCAATTCCTAATTTCCAAGTCCAACATAATACAGTACCGGTACATTGTGTTTGTATATGTTATCAGTTTGAAGGATTGGAATGATCCAATCACCCAGACCCAATAATGGACAATTATGTATCTACTTTCTTGGTCAGGATTTGAGCTTTCTTGCAATGCCATCATACCCATGGTCGACTCACATGGTGCAATCTAAGTTATCTAACATAATAACATTCATTCTAAATTACCTTAGTTTTACTAATTTGTGAACATAGCACTAAAATAAGAGTAATGGTGCTGTTGGCTGTCAGCCTGTCACACACCCTGCCATGGGCCCCATGGCCCATACCAGGATGCAGATTGCAGAGTTTGGAAGATATGTCACCAAAATATTAAATTTAATCCCAAAAATGTTTCCAAAATTCCAACAGTATTTAAAATAGATTTTTGCATTTCTGGCAGGATGGAATTCTAAAAGTTATGGTTCATATATTATTTTTAAGCCAAAAATTTTAGTTAAGATAGAAATAATGAAAATAAGAGGGATTAAAATTGCATTTGAAAGAATCAAGAATGAAGGTTGTGAAGGTTACAACACTTTCAAGTTTAAAAATTCAATTAGACTAAATATTAATTCATTAGCAATTTGTCTCCAAGCCAAACACAACAAATTAACATTTATGAATTAATAACAATCAAAGCAGGATCACGCACCATGCCATACTTCACATAAAATGTGCTAATTCTTCAAAGAAAGTGGACTGGAGATTTTACACTGGTCTGGAAATTCTCCAGACATCAATCCCATTGGAAACTTATGGGCTATAATCAAACTAATACTCCTGAAAGAAGACTTCGACAATTGCAAAGCTAATTAGTGCCGTAATTAGGACCTGGTTTGCTGGTTTCATGATGAGCAAGTGACTAAAATGTGTTCAACTTTGGTCAAATCCATGCCAAATCATGTTCAAATGCTTGTAAAAGCAAAAGGAGGACATATCTTCTATTAATTATATCATATTTTGTACCATTGGCATGTTTCTTTGAATAAAACTTCAATGGGGGCAAATAATTGTGTTATTTCAACCATTGTCCAAACTAATTTGCACAATACTATAATATGCATATCTCATTATTTCTCCTGATACATTTCTTAGGCTTGGTTGGGAAGACAATGACACTTTTGTGCTACGTATATCAGCCATGTATTCTAAGGCAATGCAGCTTTTGCCATCTCAAATATTTGATTGATAATATGTTAGATGGGGATTTGAGTATGATTGGTGTAGTACCATAATCTGCTACAATCATTCAAGATTCATTGGCAAGATTTGAACTTATTGTAAATTTTATAGCTAATTTTTCAAATTGCCTTCAAGTATATTGTTGTGTCCAGTGTCTTTAAGTGTCGAGTAACCTTGAATTCTTATGAATATTGCTGGATAAGTTGGAAAGTCACCCCACTTTGGCTGCCAGAAAAACCTTTGGATTTTAACATTTTGCCGTTACCTTAAGTTTGCTCCAAAATGTTGGAACATTCAAATTATTAAAGAAACACATCAATATTGAGGAAAGTTACTTGACATAAACTCGATGGTTCTTGAGGTTCATTTTTATTTTAATATACCTGAAGTACATATTAATTGTGGAATCTGTGTGCAAGAGAATTCTTTTCAATATTGATTAATTGTTATTTAACTGATTAAAATTGTCAAAGTACTTTATTGATGACATTTTACTTATTTATCAGCTTAACCACTTCAAATTTGCTTTATTTTTATTTTTCAGGTCATGAAGTTGTGATTGTGAAGAATGGTTTGCGGATTTGTGGAACAGGGGCAGCCTTAGGCAACACTCCTATCCTTCAAAACAAAGCCTATTTTGAGGTCAAACTTCAGCAGTCAGGTTTGTTCAAATACATATACCATATAAATATTATCTTCTGCATTTATTTTAAATGCTGAAAAATTGGATCCTTGTAGATTTATTTATAATTCATTCCTAAGATGTATGAGGTGAAGAAAACCATGATAGCTGTAATGTTATACAATTGTAAGTACAGACGTGTCCCGGGGGTACCTATGTATACCATATAAACATTACCAACTACATTTTGTTTTAATGATGGAAAATTGGATCCCATATTTGAATTTACGATGAAATCTATTCTTTATAGATATAAGTAAAAAAATGTGAGCTTTGTAATGTTAAACATGTGTAATAACAGGTGTGTGGGGGGTGGGCATTGCATCGCCAGAGGCAGAGCTAGACAGAGTACCTCTAGGTTCAGATGCCCACTCGTGGGTTCTCTGCTCGGACTGTGTGCTCAGACACAACTCCGAGGAGCCTCACAGGCTTGTTGCTCCACCACAGGAAGGCGATGTTTTGGTGAGGGACTTGATACCTCATTGTGAAGTTTTTTCATAGTTCCCTACAAAATCATTATGGTCAGTAGGTATATACTGCGATGTCAAGGACTTTAATCTTGTGGACTTGCCCCAATTTTGTTGTGATTTGGCCTAATTTCCCTAGTTCTAGTATTTTAATTCTATTCTAATCTTCCAACTTTTAATTCAGGTGGTCCAATTGCTGTTTCTTAAAAGATTTTTAGTTTTTTCAACACTTACCCCATGTAAAATGCATAATTTTTAACATTCCTAATCTTCTAGACCCATGCATGTTTTATCTTGTTCTCTATTTTGAGTTAAAATTTTCACCAGTCTATTAATATCATAATCCCCCTGTTTGGCATATTTACATGCTCATCTTTGGGCACTGTGCAGGGTGTCAGCTTTGATCACGTTGAATTAAACTTCTACATCAATGGCAAGAACACCAACACTCCACTCACAGGCTTCAAAGGCACCCTATATCCTGTGCTGTATGGTGAGCTCATTTAGTTCGCTGTAGACCTGTATTAGAGTCCTGATTAATGTTCAAGTGCACCCTCTGCCCGTTGGAAAATTTTAAACTCCTTCCATTTAGATTCAAGGGCGTCCTCCCTCTCCAGTACTGTTAGGTTGCTGAGATAACTTCTGATCCCTGTTACATGTTGGCTGGGGGCTACACTATACTGCTTGAAATCCAAAAAGTATACTGAGAAAGATGAAAACGTCTTGAAAATGGATGGGATATTCATGTGTTTTCTCATTATTGTTTGGAAGTGATGAATTTGATTAAATACTTGTGTATTTGACTACTTTTAGTCAAATATTTTGTTATGAAATTCCTATATGCAAAATTCTACGTATCGCTCTCAAAAACTGTTACGTAAATGGGAATTCTTAGGTCGTTGGGTATAGGTACATATACTAATTCTTTTTGTTTACGCTTCTATATCAAAAAATTTATTTTTTGCAAGTTTTTGTACCGAGAATTGCTTGGAGTTAATTTTCTTTGTAGAATTTATCACAAAATGAAGTTCCCCTTAAAATTTCATGAATTTTTTTTTCCTATTTCGAGAGAAAAACGAGATGAATATCTTTTTGAGTGTTGGCCTCAAACCAAGAGTTACCCGTAATACAAATCTCAAGCTCTGCAATACTTGTGACTTCTCAAAAATTACCCAAATTTAATACCAATTGAGGGTGAAACTTCACTAGTATAACTAGATGAGCATCCGCATTAAATGCCAGTAAAATGTATTTTCCATCTCGTTGTAAAAAGAAGTGAATTTTTTTAAACCTCTGTCAGGTGAACTTAACTCATTATCACGCCTTTGATACGAATAATATTGAGACGATTTATTTGTATGCAATAAAGGGATCAACGTGGTATTGAGTGTTATAATTTGAACATGAATGTCTCTTACTGTTGCAGTTGACGAAGGAGCCATCTTAGACGTGGTCTTCAGAGACTTCTCGTACCCTCCTCCCGTCGGCTTTGACGCCATAATGATCGAGAAGTCTATACTGGGCCATGATTGATCTTGGCAATTCATGTGCCGCCTTTCTCATAACCAATTCTATCGAACAAATATTCTAGGGATGATCTTTTTACTTTCTAGGTGGAAATGATTTTTTTTAACACAAGGAATTTCTTATATTTCTTACCTGTGTCTTGTGCGTTCAAGATTAAGTGAAAATTCGCATAATACATTTCATTTCAAGTCAATTTAATTAAACATGCCGTCGCCATTCTTGTGACGGGAATAGCTCCACCCTGTCGAGCAGAACTAACTACTGGCTATACGCAATCTCTTCCTGATATTTATTGTTATTATTAATAATCAATGTGTGCAGCATGCTTGTAGAAGTATTTCACAGCGGCATTTCGGCAATGGAATTTTATCTTCAAAATTTTAGTGAATGAGCAACAACCTCGTATAGTTATACAAAATCATGGGGGTAAGGTAAGTATTGAACTTAGTTTGTTTGTAGAGCCACTGAACGTAGGTGAACTTCTCGGTACAGTGGTCTTGACTTAGGCACTCTTCTGAAGCTTGGGAAATACGGCAAATTTGTCCTGATGGGAAATAATGGACAAATTTGGAAATATGGGAATTGGGAAATAACAGGGTAGTCTTGTAATTTAAGTCTGCTGCTACTCCGTGTTAATTCTTGTTAGTGAACAAGAATTATAGAATAATGACTGTTCAGATTAAGACTTATGACATGCCGACACATTTTGTGCTTATTCACCGTCTTTCAAAGTGGTAAGTAAAATTTTCATTGAATTAAGGAGTTCTTTACAAGGTACTTTTTAATACATTCCAACCTGGCTAATAGCTCTCATGCGTACTCTAGCAATTCTAAATAATAGTTTTAATGTAGGGTTTTCTTCAGTTGATAATAACCTTGTGAGGTGAACATTGAAATCTGTAATAGGGTGAAGCAATGATCTGTTGGTAATACTAATTTGCTGTCAGCAGAAATGTTATACTTGACAATTTTGTTGATTGAGAGCTTCATTCCTGGGACTCACTTTCTTTCGTTCAAATCCCTAGTCACTTTTTTTACAGACTTCGTTACAAACGAACAAATGTTGTGAAACTTGAAAAAAAATCAGTAGGCTTGCTGAAAAATCTAGGCGTATTGTCGAGAGATTTCGTTTTGTTTGATCTGTAATGTGGCTAGAGTGTTATAACGATATTTAAGCGTGTGCATACAAATGTACGATTTTGTCAATACTTGCACCAGATCTAAGATTTTGGTACCTCTAATCTTATTTTCATATGTAATGCATTTGTAGGTATACATTTGCTTTTATCGCTGGTTTATACCATTCCTAACATGAGCAGTTAATTGCATGACACTCCCTGCTGAATTATTAACGCATTTTGTCATTTTTGGAAAAAGGCGCTGTTGTGCTCGTCATGTCCGTCCGTCTGACTGTCTGTCTATCCGTACGTCCGTGACCACGTTTTCGTCGACGAGAAAATGCGCTCGCTGTCACTCACTACAGTAAGTACTGAGTTATATAGGTATTATTTTTATACTAGTTAGTATCAGAAGTGCAATTTATGTTGTGCTTTTTTGGCTATTAAATAGGGCATACCAGAGAACAGTTTTCACTTGAAACTACCCTGTAAGGCTGTTCAAAAATTATTGGTTCCAATAACGTAAGTTGATTTTCCGAACTTCACAAAAAGGTCGTCTGCAAATAATGAATCAAAATAATTTGAAAGGATGTCTGTGACCACGAACATTACTGTCGTTATGATACTCTTGCGGACGGCTTCTATTCGCAAGTTAAAAATCTTGCATACTAATATCGGATTGCAGATACATAAGGGTAAGTAGTTAAGAGAAATTTGTAACACATGTTAAAAATCAAAGTTATGTATAATTCATTATAAATCGGTCAAAAAATGTAGAAAACTAACGTATTATACTGTGCATAATTATTTAAAGGCATAAAAGATGTTTAATTACGAAAGGTTTTCCTGTCCTGGGCAGCTGGGCAGCCTCCCGTGTGTGAGGTAAACTGCGCAAAACCTCAATCGGCGATATAAGCGATATGAGATTATATTAAAAGTGTAGCGATACTCTTTGTAAGAGTATAGTGAGGGATGGTGACCACAGCGAAGTCTGCTGAGGTGCACCCTCTGCACGGGACCACTGCTGTTCTGTATGATTGATGTCTGGCGGTATGTCTTCTATGATATTGTTGATTGGTGGATTTGGGAGTGCTTACAAGTTTAGATGTGTATAAATGTTTGATGAAGTTGGCTACGTCTGTGAGCGGGAGTAAAGAGTTGAGTATTGTGAAGTGGTAGTCGTGTGGAGTGTTGCTACTTGTCTGGGTTTAGGGGGTAAATGCTCAAAGTGATGGCAGGGGCTGATAGGGCTGCAGAGTACTGATGTGAGGGATTTGGATGCCCCTCATATCGAGGTGTTCTTTCAGAAGGAGGACTTTTGTTTCTGCGTGGACGTGACTGGATGGTGTGATTTGGGTGCTGCCAAGTGCGATTGTGAGTGCTGTGCTTTGTATGGTTTGTAGGTGGTTGTGGAGTGTGGGTGAGATTGTTCCTGTGAGGACGATAAGTGTGTTCAGCCAAGGTCTGTATTTTGTTTTGATGCTCTGTATGTGTGGCCCAGAAGACATGGTAGTGTTGTAAATGACACCTAGAATCTTTGTTTAATTTGTGTGTGGTATGATGGTGTTGTTTAGTGTGACTGTGGGTCTGTGTTGATGTTACTTTGTGTGGCTTGTAAGTAGTCTGTTTATTGATTTGGTGGGGGCTACTTTGAATCTGTTGCGTACTAGCCAGTCAACTAGCTGTGTGATGTAAGGTTGTACTTGTGTGAAGCATGTTCATGCATTGGTGTGTGTTGATGTAAGTGTGATGTCGTCTGCGTAAGATATGTGAATGTTGTAAGGTGTGGCTGGAACTTTATGCATGTAAAGATTAAAAACTGTTTGTGCGAGGCCTGATCCCTGAGGTACGCCATTCTGAATGCTTTTTGTGCGTGTTGACTTGCCAGCTATTGTAGTGTACGAATGACTGTCTACCTATTAAGTAGTTGGCAAGCCAGCGTCTAGTTGTTATTTAGTGTTGTAAATTGTAGATTTTGTACGAGTTGGAGGCGCGGGATGGTTGCAAAGACTTTGCTAATGTCGATTATAATCAGGAATGTGCAGGACGCGTGGAGTTAATCCCATCTTGCATACGTTGTGTGAAGTTAGTGAGGAGTGTAATGGTGGAGTGATGGAATCTTTAAGTGTGTACATCATAATAGTAGATACCATCTCGATACAATTCAATTGTATCAAGTAATTTTAATGGATTTATAACAAAAATTAAACACTATTCCAATCTATGTTAAATTTGGATGTATTAGCTGTATCAATAAATTCGTATAAAAACCTTAACAAGAGCCAAGATTATTTACTAAGAATATTCGTTACTTATCACGACGTGAATTATAATGTCGCATGCACTAAGCATCATGACTAAATCTCTGGAATGTAAACACGTTAAACTTAATAAAGAAAAATTAGTAATTTAAAGAACGAACTTTACATAGCGTGTTACAAAACGTGTTACAAAGAACCTAAACAAATTCTTTGGATTTAAAAGCACCACAGATAACAATTAACACGTAACAATTATAATATGTCAACATATACGCACAGAAGACAGCGTAGAACTTAGTTACCTTTTAAGTAATGGAATGTTTAAATGAGGAATGCCTTCACAATGAGCTATGTAAAGGATTAATTACTTTTTATCTTAATTAGCATTAAATGTCGGCTATACAGTTAACAGCTGCAGAAAGCTGCCGCGTAGCTTAAAGACATAGGAATGGATTGATTAAATCTTTCATTGGACGATTATTAAAGCTGTGTCACGGTACAAAGAGGGTAGACTGCTTAACATAGAGACGAAAAAGAAAAACTTTGGTAGGAGTTATGGATAGGATTAGGAGTTCATATAGAGGAACTCCCTAAAGATTCCTATGGTCGCCACACCGAACAAGATGCCACATTTGTTCAAAAAGTGTTAAAACAAGTCACGCCCACTCTTATAAGCAATATTTTCGCAGAACTTCTGGACCCTCAACCGTCTGCAGGAAGCACATACAAATATCATCGAACCGTTAGCTGCGCTGCATGTACAATCGATCCCCGAATCAGGCCAATTGTGAGAATCTAAACTAGCAATTTTCTACAAATAAATTTCCAACAAAATGAGAGCTCGCATCATCAACTACGATTTTAATTTTCCGACGGCTGCATCAGGCTCTTCTCCCTTGACCAGGAATTGAGAAAACGAACCGAGTTGTTCTTGAGACCACCAATAGACCACAGTTATGTAGCGCCGCTCTCAGCCAGCAACTTCTGCTCGAACATGTCGAGTCGGTCCAGCATCTGTCCGTAGATCTGCAAAACACGCGGAGGTAGAATACACAGGAAAATCTAATCGTGGTACACGGAAAAGTTAGAATGGGATTTCATGTCTTAAATTACAAAATTTTATAAAAAAAAAAAACAGGAATCGACTAACTTTTAATAGCACGGTTATGAACAATACAGTTTATAGTTTCTAAGACACCACACAAAAGTACTATCTTTTATGTAAACTGATAATAGAAAAGCCGACAAGAAAGCACGAAAGAGGACCTTGGATGCGTCGGCAGCAGGCTCGGTGGCCAGGGTGTAGGTGGGGCACGGGATGACGTCTTCGTAGGCGCCGCCCCTGAACGCGTGCTTGGCGCGGTAGGCGCCGCCCAGCGCAGCGGAGTTGCTTACATTCTGGGAGAAGACTAATGTTTACAGAGCTCACCGTAACTAATGTTTACGACGCAGCGTGCACTGTAATTCATGTTTACATCGTGCGAAGTACCCTAATGTATAAATCGCGCAAGTGGTGATGGTGGTGGTTTAAAGGTGCTGTGCAGCTGTAAGTTCATTTTCACATTCATATAAAATGACAATTTTTAGCAGATGATATTTTCATTTAAAGAATTACCGACTCAGAACGGCTGCATATAAATATTTAGCTGCATTGTAGTCAATATAGCAAGTAAAATGATATTCAGTTTAATTGAAACGCCCACCGATCGCAAAGGGAGTGTAATTCATCACCCAATCGGCGACCATTAGCTCGTATATACTTCATCAAAAGCTGATCATGTTAGTGATTTTATTAAGCTCATAATTTGATAATTATCAGGAGCTAACCATGGTGTAGACCGGAGCCTGAAAGACGTCAGCGGCGATCTGCAGCAGCGCCTTGTTGCGAGACGCGCCCCCCGTGGCCAGCACGCGGCACTTCTCTGCACGAACAATTAACATTTATTAATAGTTTTATACAGCCTAAGTTAAAATGAATCTATCATCATAAATTGAATCATAATAGTTTTATGGAAAGTGTTCATGCACATGTAACTTCTCTGCAAAAACAGTGAATATCAGAATAAGAGGAAAATTATGGCGAAAACGTGAAACATTTGTGTGACGGTAACTACGGTTCTCAAACCCTTACAAACGAATAGCATATGACGATTTCTACACATCAACTAACAGTGACTCTAATTACTTTGCCTTCCAAAACGAAGAGCATTTATGCATAATCAAATTAAAGATGAAGTGATATGACTGGCGTTGAATGAACAGTGAGCCGAGTAAAAAATTTAGACATGAAGTAACAAATGGTGCTGAGGAAAAGAGCCGGGTAAACAAATTAGACATGAAGACATAAATGGTGTCGAGGGAACGAGCCGAGTAAACAAATTAGACATAAAGTGGCATAAATGGTGAAGTGGCGTTGTCTGTTTTAACAATTAAAAACGGACACCGAGCGAGTTGCATATGAGCTTGTATTCTATACTTCCAAAGGATCTACGGTAGCGTAATAAGGTACAAAAATTCCAGTTCTCTCCATCAGAGACGGACAAAATTGGAGTTATAATCAACATCCCAGGGAATGTTTTGAGCAAACATTTTCTATGAAAACATATACGAGAAGTCGAAAGAGTTACTATCTATAATCAGTACAAAACCGAAGCGATGCGTCCAACACATGCTGCCCACTGACCCACCCATGCTGCCCACTGACCCACCCATGCTGCCCACTGACCCACCCATGCTGCCCACTGACCCACCCATGTTGCCAAAGTTCCCCCGCGGTGTGGACTCGAGCAGCTCACTGAAGATGTCCCAGGACCCCTCAGCGCACTTGTCCCGCACGCCCTCCCGAGTCAGGGACCCGTTACTGAAACTGACATGGAGGGGAAACTATTAGGAAAGAACCATTACATACTACAAAAATTACAACTTATGACAACTGCAGTGAGTGAGTACAACAATTACAAAATTATTACAACTGCTGTGAGTGACAGAGAGGTGAGAGAGCGCATTTTCTCGTCGACGAAAACGTAAAGTCACGGACGGACAGACGGACAGGCAAACGGACGGACATGACGAGCACAATAGCGCCTTTTATTCCATAAATGAGAAAATGCGCTATAAATAACCTACACATTGAAAATAATACAAAGTGTCATCCCATACATTACCTTTAGATATAATTCCAACAAATAAAAATCTAGCATCAATTAACGTGTCAGTTCTGGGATTCACACGAGATAAGTCATGCAAAGCACAAATAAATGACGAATATCTCATTGGGATCTTATAAAGGAGTCACAAGGATTTTAATAAGGATTCAATAGGATCCTCAAAAGGATAAATAACCCTAGGCATAATAATAAGGTATAATAATAATAAGGTTAGAACACGTACCACAGCATGCCCATGTACAGGCATGTTAGAACACGTACCACAGCATGCCCATTTACAGTCATGTTAGAACACGTACCACAACATGCCCATGTACAGGTCTGGGTCAATGGGGCTGACAAAGACATGCCCCTCAAGGCCAGGAGTGGGGCGGCTCGTTGAGAGGAAGAGCGTGTCGCTTGTACCCAGACTGAGAGCCACGTCACCTCGGTCCAGACGCATCGCTGCATAACACATAGCATCATCAATAATGTACTAAATACAAATATCAGCAATTTTATTGTATTACTCTCTTTATACAAAAATCCCTATTTTCGGGGTAGTTCGGCAGAAATTGTTCTTTAATGCAGGTTTTATTGAAGACTAGAGAGTATATCTTATTGACATTATTCTTATTGTTTTACAGTTTCCCTCTATTAGCAAATTAGGTTTTTGATGACTTGAAAATTCAAATATAAGGTTTCTAAGGGAGAATTTATTATAATTTACGTTTCGATTGCAACTACATTCAGTATCAAATAGTAGAAGTTTCGCAAACCTTGAATTTGAAATTTTGAAACGACGTTATTACAAACATAGGGTAGTAGTCTGGATAATGATTGAAAATTAAGGCTTGATTTACGAGAACAGTTTCAATGTCCTAACAAATCCGGTAGCGTGCAAATAGCTGGAGACTCCTGCTTGATGATGAGAGCCTCAGCTATCGTCAGTCTTGTGGCGTCTGGGCATCTCATGATGATTCTGGTGTGAGTCTCCAATGTCGCGCGAGTGAGTGTCTCATTAATCATTATGAGCCTCCCTCATGTGGTTCTTCGGTCCTTCGGTCTGGAGGTGGCATGTTAGGCGGCGGGCCAAAGTCGTGCTGGTCTAACAGGAAGTCTGCAACCTTCTTTGTGGTATGAATATTTTTAAATAACATTGGTTTCTTGTATTGGTCCCGACTTTTTTTATGGTCCCGGAACCGCGAATGGCCGTACTAATGTCATTTCAAACTTCATATTCAAGTGTTTCAAAACTCTTCAGCTACTTGATAACGAATGAAGTTGCATTCCAAACAGCATAAATTATAATGAAGTTTTCATTGGAAAACTTATATTTTAATTTTTCAAGTCCTATCAAATGCCTAATATGCCGAATAGAGAAAAACAATAAGAAAAATGTCGATAACAAATACTCTCTGGTCTTCAATGAAACCTACATTAAATCACTATATCAATACTCAGCCAATATACTGAAATACACAAAAATTCAATAACATTATGAAGCTCATATATACAATATTTTTATTGTCTAATAAAGATCTTTCATTTATTAATTTGAAAATAAACTTCTTGTCAATAGGACCGCATCAGCTATGGATAAAACGCGAATTCTACTTTTCGTCAACTAAGAATTTTCCGAAAATTGGACACCTTACATTACACCAATTGATGAAGTGTTCAGAGTATCGAAGGGTTGTTAATCTTGAAAGGAGCAGAATCAATAAATTTTACCTGCAAGTGCAGCAGGTGAGTTAATCAAGGGCCAATATAAAACTTTTAATTTTATCAAGTGCCGAAAGGTTGTTAATTAAACAACAAAAATCTCCCATCTTAAGATCTAGTATCACAAGACAAGTACCGCTACTCATTAGCAAGAGAAAATCTCCAATTTTATCAGCAAGTGCCGCATCGTTGCCACGGAAGTAAGCAACAAAAAAACTCTTATATACCAGCAAGTGACGAAGGGTTGTCGCCAGTGAAAGCAACAACATTGCACTCTGCACTGAACCCGTAGCGCTCAACATAGAAGTTGCTGACTTTGCCCACGACCGTGTTGCTTGGCACGGGAGATCCCAGCAGCGACCTCAGGCCCACGCCACACGCCTGTAACACGAACTGTAATTAAATAAGGCAAGGGAATGTCCAGCAGCGACCTCAGGCCCACGCCACACGCCTGTAACATTAACTGTATTTAAATAAGGCAATGGAATGTCCAGCAGCGACCTCAGGCGCACGCCACACGCCTGTAACATTAACTGTAATTAAATAAGGCAATGGAATGTCCAACAGCGATCTCTGGTCCACGCCACATGCCTGTAACATGAACTGCAAATTCAGGAAGCTCGGAGAATGTACAAATATGCAATACATAAAAGGCAGCCTATATGGAAGTCTTCTATAGTGCACTGACATGCTGCAAATCAGTATGACAAATCTTCAGGCATTATTTAATACATTAAACCTGTTATTATGGAAAGATCAAAATTAAAGCGATCCTGCAAAGATTGCTACGTAAATAAGACAAGTTGGCACACAAGCAGATTTCCCTTGATGGGAAGTCACCCACCTTGAGGCAATCTTCATGCCAGTCTTTGGTGTTGATATCAAGAAGGTTCATGCCTGATCCGTCGCTCAGGTCTATGGGAGCATAGTCACCAAGCATCAAACTGCATGCAAAGCTGCTCACCAGCGAGATGTGCTGTAATGAAAACATCTATGTATACTTGCACACACATTATTGAAGATTATTTTGTGAAAAGGGAAATGATACCCAATACAATTTTTAATGGTTGATAGGACTGTTTAATATAGTCTTATTAAGTGATGGAATCAGCTGTTTCACAGAACAGTAAAAAATATTGACCAAGAACTATGAGCATGGATTTTAATATTTATAAATGCGGATGAAGATTCAAAAGTTATTAAGTATTAGCTAGGTAAAGGTGGAAAATTTGGAATAGCTTTGTGGAAAACATGTTTAAATGCCAAAGGACTAAAGAAAATAAGATTATCAATTTGTTAATCAGTCCCATTATTTGCTCTACAAGCTTGTGGTATTGAAAAATGTCAGTACAGAGTTATAATAATTAATTTTTTCAAATGGAAACCTACAGGAGTACAACTAAACAGACCACTAGCCAAAAGATTTCTTCAATTGGACATGAAATATATTGAGTTTCTCAAAGTACCTCAGTGTTGCCATATATGTCAGGGTTTGTGCTGTGGGTGCGGGCTATTTGGTTGCCTGTGAAGCGCTCGTATGCACGTGATCCAGAGATGTCTGCAAGTCTCTGAAGAATTATACAGATAAATACAACTAGACAATGGGATTACAATGTTTTTAGTAATTACTGAAAATTATAAAATTCTGTTTCATAAAGTAACATGTTAACAGCACAATAATATTTCACTAATGAAATTGTGCGATGATAGGTACTTCATGAAATTGAAAAAGCCCACCAACAGTACCTGCATACTTTGAAGTTCTGCTTTGAATACTGACAAGTAGGAAAGTTACAGTTTATAATGGCTGACTAAACTACTCATTTTCAATCACCCCCAGAAGCATTACTCTCTCACCTGAGCTCCACCCAGTTTTTCTTCAAGCATCTGACACTGAATGGTTGTAGATACGTCCATCCACACTGGCGCATTGGGACGAGAAAAGAGTGAACTGTTCAGTTGATGATGCAGGAACTTCTGAGGGTCCAAATTAGTGAGCACTTCTCTGGTGCCTCTCTTCCACCACACGCTGCCATGCTGCTGCCCACTGCCTGACAGCGCAGCAACTGTACTGAAGTCGGTGCCAGCCACACGTAGCTTGTCAAGCACAAGGTCCAACGCTTTGATCCACATAACTACTGGTGATGTGACCTCTCCATTGGCACCCTGAATCACTCCACCCTGAGTTCTGAAATGCAGGGGAAATATTAGTAATAGTGGATAAAAATGTATTTTTCGATCTATTTAAACATGATAAGGTGAAAAAACTTTCTAATGAATAGGTTTGAAGGTCCTTATCTCAGATGATACTGATTGACAAAAATGGTTAAAGTGATCAATGAATATTGGACAAAGTAAATAGTTATACATAAAATTAACCATAGTTCAAAGAACTACAAATCTATTGCCAAATTGAGAAACATAAACACATTAGTTAGACAAGTTGTAAAACTTTGAATATAACTCAAAAACAATGCCATGGGAATAACAAACCCAATATAACTGCACATTAGCTTATGGTGCATCAGATGGCCTCATTTGAGGTTTACAATATGTATACACAATAGGTACCTATCCATTTGAATCAATTGACTGTCACTAACCTAAACTCTGGTAATTCAGAATCAAAGTGCACAGCTGCTTCCTGCAGAACCTTCAAATCATCAGCAATCACCAAAGCCTTGACCTGAAAAATATATATTAGAATAATATTTCAAATAATTTTTGGCAAACTCTTGTTCAAGTGATAGCAAAACNTTGACTGTCACTAACCTAAACTCTGGTAATTCAGAATCAAAGTGCACAGCTGCTTCCTGCAGAACCTTCAAATCATCAGCAATCACCAAAGCCTTGACCTGAAAAATATATATTAGAATAATATTTCAAATAATTTTTGGCAAACTCTTGTTCAAGTGATAGCAAAACAAATCAATCAAATTTCGTACAACATTTCTACCACAATCAGTGAGCAAATGAAATTTCTGGAGTGCATCAGGTGGACCAAATGAGGGCGGATGAACGATAATCAGAGGAGGCCATCCATTGTGGCCTGGGACTGCTATGTCCCAAACAAATACTAAGGAATACTAAGGAGGTATTAACATGTAACAAAATGAACTTGGTTCTAAATTGTAAGATGTAAAACCTGCAATTAGATAAAGAACCTGCCAGAATAACTTGCCTGCTGTGTGCTGAAATCAAATCCTAGGTAAGTAGATAGTTTTGGTGGCTCAGCCTCCATGGTAGATGCCCAAGACTTAGGGTCTTATATTGTAATTAAACAACTGAAATTTTAAAGTTAAAACAACAACAACAAAACTAACAAAATAAAAAATTTAAAAATTCTGTAATATAAATAAAGTTTTAAATTATGTAGACATAAGAGTGCAATGGCAAATGCAATCATTATCAAGCTTTTTGGTAATAAATATTAGAAAATTGAATGAAAAGAATGTGTGCTGCCTTCTGTATGGTATATAAATATAGGTGCTAGGTATATAAATAAAGAACCAGTAACCTCATCAGTCTAATTAAATTCATTACATATATACACAACATAGCAGCATCTTTAATCATCACTATCCAGTAATTTGGTGGTCCTTAGCTCCACCTCCCAACAACTTGAAATACTTGTCGCACCCAAAATTCCAAAGAAAAGATAAATTCATATTCTTAAGATGTCCTTGCAGATTTTCTTAGTCCTGACTCCTCCATTCAGAATCACCTGAGGGAGGCCCACAAGGCCATCACATGCATAGTGCTGGAAGAATGTGCCAGCATTGTTGTATGGCGTATAATAATGGCGCCTCAACAGCAATTGACCAGCAATAGCTGAAGCTCTCATCGTCAAGGATAGGACCCAAGCTAGCAACCTACAAGTTACTGGATTGGTCAGAACTTTGAGACTATTATTGGAACAAATTTTGGGTTCCAATTTTTTAGCATTATCCAACTTATGTGATTTTGTACGTACTTATTTCCACTCAAATCTAATTTTTTATAGTATCCTGTATACTTGATTTTGTACTTAATGTTAGTGCAAATTTTATTACTCAATGCATCCTGTAACTTGATAATGAGCATTATTACATTCAAAATGTTGCTAAAATATTAAAAATTTCATTTGGAAACTTGATTTTTATTCTAGCAATGTCCACAAAAAATATAGGTAGTCTGACTTTGACTTATTGAGTAAGCCAACATGAAGATTATAAATAGAACTCACTCTTTGGTTTTCAATGAAACATGTCTTATTATATATAAACATGTTAAATTAGTAAGATAGATATGATGATATGATGAAATTCTGCAACTTTTAGTGGACACACACACACTCTAGAAAACAATGTGACAAATTATTTATTGCAGCTACCAAGAGGCAAGAATACCATCAAACGGGGTAATATGGTATGGTTTTGAGCGTTTTTTGCTAATAACTTCTTACTATAAAACATTTCATTAACAAGTTTGGGCTCATTTTAAATGTCTTTGCAAGGGCTATTGTATGGCATCTCCAAAAAAAATCATGCTATTTGTGAGGTGCTAAACGCAAAATAAAAGCATCGCGAAATCTGAATTACCCCTGGGACTGGGAGCAGGGTAATAAGGGACACTTGAAATGAAACTCAGTAATATCAACGTGGCAAATATCTCACTTTAAGTGTTTTTTACTGAAGGAACTAGTCTAATGTCATTGAAAAGTAGATATACATATAGGTAATAACGGTATATTCCGACATCATGGGTAATTCCGACACTTCTCAACTTTTTTCCTTTATATTAAGCTTTTTCTTAGTTCCACGCATTCGTTGATGGTTGAAATAGTAACGTCATACTATTGTGCGCCATACTATTGCCAAAAAAACTAGGTCTGAGCCGTCTGGCGGGAAAATGTTGAGATCCAAAGAGACAATGCACGTCACGGTCACATAGTAAGAACATCGAAAAATGTGTCAAAGTTGATAGTTGACCTTGCTCTACCGAATAGTGATAAACTGTTTGTGTAGAAAGAATATTATGGTTTGAGACTTTTAAATAAGTCTGTGAATATATTAGGAATCCTTTAAGTATACTTGTATTTGTGGTTTCAACTTTCAAGTGGTAAAAAAATTAATAGATGATTAAGTTAAGAGACCGTTTTAGACACATAAAAACTAATTCTGACACAGCTTGGAATTAGACACACACAGCTTGTTCCAAGCTGTGTGCAAAAATTAAAATTTTCTTAATTAGAAGCTTAATAGCTCTTACTTAAAAGCCTAAATAAGTAGTGTTCAATATTCAATAGTGTTCTAATTTCAAGCTGTGTCAGTGTGTCGTATTCCAATACAGCTCATACAGCGATCGGAATTTGAACACAAGAGTGTCAGAATTACGAATTAGTAGAGTTTGAAGCGTGGCCAGAATTAGTCTCACAAAATGCCTAATTAAGTCACACACAGTGTCGGCTGTGTCGCCTGTGTTGGAATATATGGATTTGGTAGGTTTGCATTCTAAAGGCTTTTAGATAAATATGGTGACATTTTGTGACGTTTCATTTTTGCTGGCACGTAGTGCATAGTGACAAACCAAAGATTTTTTAGAATCAGTTCATTTTTAATTTCTTCATTTATTCAAGATTTAAACCAATTTCTTATGTATGATAATGCTGGTACCTATCCATGATACTGGTCTACTTTACTACTTATAGGACTCAAAAACATAGTGGCAATCAAGAACATATTTTTTTTCTAGGGTAAACATACAATTTCTGAACGCAAATTAAGCATATGCATTGCTTCAAAATTTTATGAACGCCGATGGTAAACAGTCAAAATATAACTCAGTTTACAAATAAATTTACATTTTAAAAAATTAGTTTTTACATATCTCTGTCTCCAATGTTAGTAGGTTCTGCTCTGCTGAGACGACAATGCAAGTTTGGTACTGGCAGCGCAGGCATCGACAACCACACGTGGCGCCAGTTCACATACGTCTGGCAACAACAACACTCGTTCAAAACTTCACGTTCAAAGATCAGATTTAGAAGTTGAGTTCGTTCAATGCTTTCGAAATAGATGCTCTAGTTTGTCATAGCGGAGAGCCAGAGACGTTCATTCCTTTCTAATCCGCATCCGCTCTACTCTGGATTTTGTTTTCAATTCAATTCCTAATTTAGAGCAAACTCTTCGTTGAGGGATTTTTTTGCAATTGACATATCGATTCGACACCGTGTACGATATTTTAAAACAAATTTACAGAAGTAAGTTTCATAGCACTTTTTCCACGCATAAGTTTATGAAATCGAAACTAAGTGATAATTACCAAATTAAAAACGAAATTATTCACTCACAATGCCCTCGTGCGAGCATGACCAGGTATTTCTGTTTCTACTTTAATTTTAATAAATGTGCTAAATGATAATTTTTTGCACTTTTTCCCGCTAAGATCTTCAAATCTGAATCGATCTTGACATAAGTAAATACGTATCTATTTATTGACAATATCCTACTGTATGCACTGGAAGACTTTTTATTGTCATGCCAGATTTTTTCATGAAACTTGGCACGTATAACTATTTCATATCCAAACCAATTATGACCTAATTAATAATGAAGATGTTTATTTACAATACGCTGTTACAAGCGTTGTAAGAATTTACTTTTAATTTTAATTTTGTGTCAGCTTCATTTTCGCATGTGTATATATATATTGTTGAACTTTATTAGGTTGACCCACGAGGATTTCTGACTTTCAGTTCAGCTTTCTTATTACGTCACGTAGATTGAGATACGTAAACAATCCAGTCATTCCCATGACGGATTGGTTTGATCGCATTTTGGTGATTGGTTAATGCCTGTGACGTCACCGAGATCAGTGACATAACAGGCGAACAACAAACTAAATATATATACCTATTGGACACATTGACAGTATGAGAACGTGTAGCAATATGCAAGGCTAAAGTGTGCTACAGTGTAATGCTAATGTGTGCTATTGTGCTCTGATAATGTACACTAACTTGCTCTGCTAATGTGAGATAATGCGCTATGCTAACGTATGTTATGGTAATGTGCCCTACCTACTAATGTATGTTATGATAATGCGCTCTGCTGATGTATGTTATAGTAATGTGCTCTGCTAACACCTGCTACAACGTCTGAGGTAAGTTAATCTAATTGACTATAGTATGCAAAGATACGCTATTCAAATGTTTAATAGGAATTTTAATTTGTCTTTTCTGAAATGATACGAATCATTTTCAATAATAATAATGATAGCAGATACGACAATGTCAGTACAGGAGCTGCATTCTTGGTATATGGTATTTGATAATTGCAACGGGATTCACTAATATAAGGGATTACCGATCCCAGCAACACCAAGCAGGGATGCATGTTGCCATAACAAAAGGTTTCTTAGACTTTATTTGAAAGCAGGAAGGGGTTTGTAATTTCTTAGAATAACCTTAATGATAGAGGTAAAAATAAAACGACCAACTTTATACGTTTATTGTAATGGAGTTACATCTAAAATGGACACGTGGGAGTGTATATATGTATATTTATCATAAAATTACTGATACTAAATCACATATTCTACAAATAATATCTATAGAGGAACCTCATGTCTTAAAACACAACCCCAAATAATTATTGTTCAATTTTTGTCAAAATACGATTCTTCTCTGCTCATTTTATGCTCAAAATTGGTTTTCAAAGAAACTAAGGCGCTCGCTCTCACTTACGTCTCGGACATTGTCCGAGACGTCTCTACTTGATGTAAATATAAAAAGGCCTGATCAATTTCATACACATTCATTTAACAATATCTTCGATATCAGTTATGAAATTTCAAGACGCCAAAGATTACAGCAACCAATCTAAATGAGCTGTGCCGTTGTTTGCATATCATTAGTCTTTTGTTTCCGTAAGTTATGTATGACCATGATAGCAAATTTGACCTCAACTAAATGAGTGTCAATTTCGTAAGTAATATAGTAAGCTATTTTATGATTAACAAGCCTGTATCTAGTTTATAGTTTAGACAAAATTTATAAGGTTGTCTGTAAAAATTGTCTTGTCATCTGAAAATAATTGCTAAAATTTGAGATAACCAAAATTTGATCAAACTCGTTTACCTTAATATAGTGACTGAATCCCAATCTAACATGTAACAGCTGGAATTCCTTGGAACGGGGGTATTGTTTACTTCTTGATCTTGTTGTGGCAACAGCAATCGGAAGCCATTGCGGTGACCATTGTGAACCTGTGATACAAAACATTAATCAAATCAAAAGTAGAACATTCAAAGTCAAACATAACAATTTGAAAA